CGGGCCACTCCACTCAGAGCCGCCTGTGACTCGACGCCCGATGCAGCGTGACGCGAGCAGGCCGCGCGCCTCGACCGCAGACGGACGCGCGTGCGCAGCAGCGCGCAGGCGGGCCGGGAGGAGACCCGTGGGCTCCTGGGAGGGAGCCGGAGAGCCGGGGGCGGAGCAGCGGGGGAGGTGTGGGAGCAAAGGAATGGGCGGGGGCGAGGGGGCGGGCCGTCCCGAGGTGTCTCTGCCCGTCACTTCCTGTTTGCCGGAACTTCTGAATCCGGGTCAAGGGTGCTCTTCTCGCTCGCTCCTCCCCGGCTGCTCCCGCACCTTCGGTGACAGCGGCTCCTGACTCAGCCCGGCGCTGGTTTCATCTCGCGATCCGCTGGAGCCCCGCCGCCCACTCGTGCCCCCGGCCGCCGACGCGCGTCTCCTCCACCTTCGGCCTCGCAGCCCGGGGCCCGAGCCGCTGCCGCCCGGGGGGCCTCGCTGGCCCCTCTGGCTGATGCTGGGAAGGACCGCGGACCCGGGCCAGCGGCCGGGTGCGGACCTGCGGCTCCTGAGGCCCGCCGCGGGCGCTGCGGGTTCTTGCGCGCCCCAGGCTTGCCAACTCCTGCCCGGGCTTGAATGGCCCCCCCTGGCCGATAAATGTGGCTGCTGAGGTGGTCGGGCCCGTTGCTGCGCTCCAGGTTCAGCTCTGCCCCGGGGCTCCGCGGCCCCACCTCGGGGCCGTCGCTGCCAGTTCCTTACCCTCCGGCCCTGGCCTTGCAGTGTGGCGACCATGGACAAGATCCTGGAGGGGCTGGTGAGTTCGACGCACCCGCTGCCGCTAAAGCGGGTGATTGTGCGCAAAGTGGTGGAGTCGGCGGAGCATTGGCTGGACGAGGCGCAGTGCGAGGCCATGTTTGACCTGACCACCCGGCTCATCCTGGAGGGCCAGGATCCCTTTCAGCGGCAGGTGGGGCACCAAGTGCTGGAGGCCTACGCGCGGTACCACCGGCCGGAGTTTGAGGCCTTCTTCAACAAAACGTTCGTGCTGGGCCTCCTGCAACAGGGCTACCACTCGCTGGACAGGAAGGACGTAGCCATCCTGGACTACATTCACAACGGCCTGAAGCTGATCATGAGCTGCCCGTCGGTGCTGGACCTCTTCAGCCTACTGCAGGTGGAGGTGTTAAGGATGGTGTGTGAGCGGCCAGAGCCACAGCTGTGTGCCCGGCTGAGCGACCTACTGACCGACTTCATGCAGTGCATCCCCAAAGGGAAATTGGCCATCACGTTCTGTCAGCAGCTGGTTCGAACGATAGGCCACTTCCAGTGCGTGTCCACCCAGGAGAAAGAGCTGCGGGAATATGTCTCTCAGGTGACAAAAGTGAGTAACTTGCTGCAGAACATCTGGAAGGCCGAGCCCTCCACGCTGCTACCTTCCTTGCAAGAAGTGTTCGCAAGCATTTCTTCCACAGGTAAGTGTCATTATGTCTCAAGAAAACCTCTCTTGGAAGTTGGGTATCCCATTCTCAGTACCATGTTTGCTTGCCTGTCCTGAAAGCATTCTAGAGAGCAAGTCCTGATACCCTGGTATCAGGGTATTTTATTCCCAGGTACTTCCTTTATTCAGTCAGTCAATCACTTTGTATTAAAAAAAAAAAATAGACAAGTGTCCCTATTTGAAAGGCAGGAACGTCTTGGCCTCAGACCTTTGACTCTGAAGAAGTTGCTCAATTACTCAGCCTCTGCTCAGGTTATGAACGCTTTGAAGGTGATGCTGCCATATAAAGCTTCTATTCATTAGTGACTAATAGTGGCATGATAATGTTTACCGTGTTATTATTGTGCTGTAACCCTATCATCCTGTTGTCATGAGGGTTTGTTTTTTTTTTTTAATGTAGACTTGGAATTTCCAACTCTTAAGTTGTGAAACAACACAAACTGCTAACACATTCTGTCTTTACTGGGCACAGTCATTCTCCCTGGCTATTGTTCAAAACTGAGCTTGTGAAGGGAGGGGAGGGCCCCCCTTTTATCTTGAGACCCAGATAGAAAAGTAGAGTTTTAACAAGTTCCATGCATCCTGATGAATTAAGTGGAGGGATGAAAGAATCTCTACATATTTGCAGTATCTAAGTTGCTTTGTTTTTCAGCTGTAATTTTAATTGTATACCTTGTTGCCAGAGCTGTTAAGCCCCCCCCCCCCGCCGCCCCCCCAACACCAGCAGTAAATGTGCCTACCTTAGATTTGCTTACTTTGGTTTTTCTGCTTGATTTTTTTTTTTTTTTGGTTTAACCAGTCTTCCACAAAATTCAGCGTAATTTCTACTTCCTTAAGAGATTTTTAAGTCTTTCTGAGAGCAGTGTAATGACTACTGTAACTAATAGTTTTAGGTTACTTGGGTCTAATTTTAATTTAAATGATACCTTGTGTTTCTTTTCTAACTACAGCTTTACACATGGATATTTTCAGAGGAACTTAATAGTAAAGAATGCAAAAAAATAACTTATGGAGGAAATAGTGACTGATGTTCCTGTTTCAGTAGTTCTAGCTACAGAGTGAGAGAGATCACTGCTGCTCCCTCGGAACTGCTCTTTTCTGTAATCTGACATTGAGTGTTAATGTCTACCCATGCTGTGAAGCATAACAAATGCTTCCAGATGAGCACCTTTGCTGCATTGACTTTTTCTGGTAATTTGGTCTTTCTAATATCGCCATGTTCCTTTTCTTTTTAATTAAAAAAATAGATGTATCCTTTGAGCCTTCTGTGGCATTGGCCAGCCTCGTGCAGCACATCCCTCTTCAGATGATCACAGTCCTCATCAGGAGCCTTACCACAGACCCGAATGTGAAGGATGCCAGTATGACCCAGGCTCTCTGCAGGTGTGTCTTCACCACGCTGTGGAGGATAATTGTAGATGGGAGGAGGAGATACTTTGTTGTGTCTAACAGGTAATAGAAAAGGTGTGTGTGTTCTCCAAGTTAATTGGAATGAATGGTCTCCCTTACTACAGTTTTGACAGGTATGCCAGCAATTCACAGATCTATTTTCAGTTACACTTTTTAAACTCTGAACACACACACATGTATACATGTATTGTGCATTCAGCATTTAGTTGGATTATCAATGTACTGTACTAATTTCTTTGCTCTTTCTTATTTCCTACAACCTATTTCTTGCCTCTAGATCCCTTTGTTTCCCCCCTATGTACATACTTTTACTTTCTCTTTTGTCTCTGGGTAGTGCTGTCTTGTTCTTTGTTTATGTGAAATGTGTTTTTTACTCTTTATATTTAAATTGGTGATTTAGAAAATAGAGAATTCTGATTTATCGTCCTTTTTTTCTTTTTTTTAGCATTTTGGAAATGATACCACATTGTCTTCTGGCATCTTTGTTGTTGATGTGAAGCCTGCTATCACGTCAATTGTCATCCCTGTGGGAGTAGACTTTTCTAATTTTAACTTAAATGATACCTTGCATTTCTTTTCTAACTAGATGTGTGTCTAATATTTTATTTTCTTCTCAGCTTTTGTACTTTTATTTAATCATTCATTCATTCATTACCATGAGTACCAAGAAGAGTTTCAAAATATCCTTGAACAAATGGATAAAAATAATCTGTCCTCACAGGCTTACTCTCTCATGGGGAGGCATATTGTAAACATGTAACATTCTTCACTGACTCCAAAGTGCATCCTGATTTTAGAGATGTTAAAATGTGGAAATGCACAACCCCTGGTGTTCAGGTTCAGCTGGTAGGACTTGACTTGCCTAGTGTACATAAACTTACTACGGAGCTTAAAAATTGACTTCATTTTCTATTTGATAAATACATTAAGTAGATGATTAGTGAGTAAGTAGCAGTGAATGAGTGGCTGTGGGGGAAGAGTAGGTAGGGAGCGCTTAGACCATGGGCGGTGGTTTGCAATATTAAGTAAGAATGCGGAAGATGCCTCACTGAGAAGGTTACTAGGAAGCAAATAACTAGGAAAGGAGGACCAAGCTTCATGGAGGTCGAAGGGGAAGAGCATCAGTACTGTCTTACAATTAATTTTCTTCAAAGGTGCCCATTAATAAACATTAGTCCAGCTATTGAGTTCCTTTATTTCAGTGACTCAATTATTTTCTAATTGAGCTTTTCCTGCCTATCTATTCTTGTATCATGTCTGCCTGTTTTTGTGTTGTAATATTTCCTCCTCAGTGTGTGAGTGGGAAGGAGGGAGGAGGGAGCATATTTAAAGAGGATGAGAATTTGGAACAAAGCAGTTTCTTTGCACCTGTAATAAAATTATAGTTTAAGTTCTAAGTAGCTAAATGTATACAAATTGCTCTCTCGACACAAATTTTGGGAACTTTCCTATTCTCTACCATCTCCCCTTTTCTACTTGGTACTTATAAAGACTTCCTTGTTTTGTCTTATTCCTCATGCTGTATACATTTCATGGAGCCAGTTCACCTGTAACTTGTACTTTCATATTTCTTATTGCTCGTTCCCTCTTTAACATCCATAGATTTGTGAAAATGCGTTATATACTTGGGAGAAATCTACAGTATAAGTGTCTTGCCCTGTGTCCCCTCCCCTCATTGGTTTCTCTTTCTGGTGATCTCCAGGCCATGTGTGGTGGTCTGTATTTGTCTGTATCTTATTCTCTTCTTGATCTCTTTCTATTCATAGTTTGTTTTGTTTTGTTTTGTTTATTTATTCATACAGAACTGGGGTACAGGCCAGAGATGCGGAGGTAAGAGGATTCACCAGGGACAGAGTGGGGAGCAGAACAAGCAGATTGATGAAGTACACTGCTGAGGGGAGCAGCGGGCAGGTTAGGAGAGGTCTGCTACACCATGTGGATCCTCCTCCGGGGCAGGCAGGGATCGAACTCATGCTAAAGTGGCTTTAGCTTCTTGGTGCTGTGCTTTAACCCGCTGCGCCACCAGGGAGGGCCCTGTTTTGTTTTTTTTTAATTCTAGAAGTCTGGTATTACCTTGCTATTAGGATTTTCTTCATATTATCTGTTCTTTTTATTTTCTTTTTCCCTTTACTCCTATCACTTTATTGATTCTCATCTTTATGTGGTTGATTCCCACAGCTTCATTCTCTGAAATGAATGTTTTATAAACTGTGTTCCTCTTAGTAAAAATAAGGTGATTCAGGGATTAGATTTCGCAGCTTGAAGTGAAATTAGAAATCAGTTCATTCAACACCTTCGTTTTATGGACTACATAATATTTACTATCCTTAGGCACGTGCCATGAGTCAGTTAATACTTTCCGCAAGTTCTTGAGGTATCAGTAGATACTGTATTGGCTCCAGTTTAATAGTTGAGGAGCATGAGCGAGGTTAAATAACTTACCCAAGTTCACTCAGGTAAGAGATGGATCTGGTATTCACATAGATCTGGCTCCAGATTTATCATGTTATGTAGTCACCCATAGAAAGCAAACCTAGAGCCATCAAGTTCTTACTGAGGGTCAGGTCACTCTAGTTAGAAACAGAAGGTATCGTCATAGCCTGATGGTTTTGTGTGTATGTTTCTTCCCTGAATTTACCTTCAGTGATACCTTTGTCATCCTATATATTTAATCAAAAACTCTAAGCAGTTTTCAATTCCATTCTTTCTTTCACTCCCATTGATTAATGTAACTCATAAGTCCCTCGATATTTTAAGCTTTTCTTAGAATGATATGATAGGTCCCCACACCTCAAAGACATCAGCCCACCGTGATTGCTACAGTCTTGTAGTTGGTCTCCTTAGCAGTAGGCTTTTCTCTCTTCTCTAAATCATTCTGACCTAACTCATTTTCCCCTACTGGTCAAGAAACTCCAGTAACTTCCACTACTTAAGAAATAAAGTATAAAATCCATTTCTTCCAATTTAGCACACTTTTTCAGTGTGCTTGATTTTTCAACTTTTTTAGAATAAACACAGTATTTAACTTACAGATTTATTTTTTATTTATAAAAGGTATTTGGAAATTAATTATTATCGATTTCTGTGGGAAATCATAATCCAGTTTTTGTATTGTACTTCCCACTTATTGTACATGATCCTTTTTAACCAATAATCTACATAGAGTAATTATTTTTATATGGCAAATATAATTGCAAAGGTTAACAATGTTTGTCTTCATTATATCACCATCTTATACTTCCCTAAACTCCTTACATTCCCATAAATAGCAATTATGATGCTGTACTGTCATTTTCTGTCATCTAAGCAAATGCAAATACCATATGAAAATCAGTTAAGTGATGCTAAAAGTTGAGTAGGCCGGTATACTTGAAGTAGTAGGGAACGAGGTACACAAGCACTTTCTAAGAGAAGACTCTGGGCCTCAACTCCTTTTGGATCTAGCACTCAAGCTGCCACCTAAAAAGGAAAATTTGCTTATTGTCTACAAATTAATATTAAATATATTTTGTGGTCTTTCATAATATTGCCAATCTCAATGTTAAGGTCTGTAAGTTGTATATCTGTTAGCTATAGAGAGGAATGGTTTCTTTCATGTCAACAAATAAGAGCTCCTTCTAAGTACCAAGCACTACACTGATAAGGACCAGGGATCCAAAGATATATAAGATTCAGGACAAGAATGAACCAGGTCACCTGTCTTTGAGTTCACAGTCTAAAGAAGTAAGTAAGCCTTTAAAGGACAAAAATTACAACTATAGTTAAATGGTCCTTAAGTAATGAGAAATTAAATTGGTTTATCATGATTAAGTAAATAAAAAATTTAAACAGCAACCAGTGCATAGTGCATAAGATCCTGTAGTAAGCCATAAAAATAGCTTACTCTAAAGAACACTCTAAAGAACACGCGTGTGCAGGTCCAATCACACTGAAGCACAACTGGAATATAATTTAAAAGTATTGAAAAAGCTTACCATCTACCCAAAGATGTCAGGTCAAATGCTAGTATTGCTGTTTAATTGTGTGACCATTTACAAAATCCTAGCTTTACCAATTTAAGGACAGAACCCGTGTCTGTTATATCTCAGCACTTAACACAGTGCCTATTAGATAATAGATATCAAACTGTTTAGTGAATGATGGCTTCTAATTTGTATAAGTGCTTAAAGTTTTATTATCAGGGTGGTCAGGCGGTAAAAATGGAGACATATGATGGGAAGCTATTAATAAAAATGGAGAAGACCAGTCTGGTTGGGTGCTTAGGGATAATGAAGAGCTGTGGTCAGCTAGAATTTTCTTTTCTGCCTCTCTCACTCTTTCCCAGCACACACACCCCACACCCCCACCCCCTTTCTCCCTTTGACCTGAGCCGAAGGGCGTTCTGGCCTTGCCCCTGTGTTCTCAAGAGCCCGGTCTGATTCTGCTCTGACTGCCATTCCCTGTGGGGCACAATCCACAAAGCCAATCTGTTCATCTACCCATTTCCTCTAAGGTACCTTTTGAATTCCAGAATTTTCTGTTATGTACTGACATGATTTTCTTTAAGCAAAGTAGTTTTTAAAAGGCTTACTGATATTTATTCAGTGATATCACACATCTGCCCATATGTCATCTCCATAGATAGAGTCATGTAGGTCTGTATTAACCTTTGCAACCTTCTATAAATAGTGTCTTGTAGATTTGGTGCCATATTTGGCCATCTCCTTATAGATGAACATGAGGTGGCTGCAGTTTTCCCATTCATGAACAGTACTATGCCTGCACCTTGGATAGAAATTCAAGTGCATCTTCTACTCCCACTCCTGAGTTGTGGAATGGCCACAGACCGTCCTGAGTCAGCCTGATGGCAGCTGGGAGATGGAGCACAGCTGTCAGGGACACTTACAGCAGAAGATGCCGAAAAGCAAGCATTGGGAAGTCCTAGGGTATACCGCTCACACAGTTTCAGACCTCAGTGCTTTTCACAATGAGTCTAGTAATTTGTGTCCACAGGGACGACTATAGACCGCACCTTTTGTTATTCCTAACCAAGTAACAACGAAAATATTTTTAATACTGACAGTTCTGTTTTCCTTCCATTTTTAGAATGATTGACTGGCTCTCCTGGCCATTGGCTCAGCACGTGGATACATGGGTGATTGCACTTCTGAGAGGCCTGGCAGCTGTCCAGAAGTTCACTATTCTGATAGATGTTACTCTGCTGAAAATAGAACTGGTAAGTGGGAATAACTGTCATCAAGAATGTATGGATGCACCTACTCCATCTTTTTCTCTTTGGATTATTGTCTCTTGAAAGCATCAAATAGAGAGTATGTTCTTGGCATTGATGGTTTTTTTTTTTAATAGGGTTTAAAATTTTTAAATGTCATTGAAGTGTAGGTAGTTAATTTAGTTGGCAAATATCTATTAAGAGAATACTAAGAGAGCATATGCCTTTCATTGTCTCTTGAATCCAGTGAAGCAGGCTTTTACCACCACTGTTCTGATGACTCCCTGCTGCTCTCCAGGGTTGCTGAACCCCCAGCTTGTCTCAGGCCTCCTCACCTTTGACTTGTTAGGGGTATTTGACACATGCAGTTACTCCTTTGGAAACACATTCCCCACTTAGTTTCCAGGACACTCACTGCCCTCATCATTGTTTTGGTTCATTGGCATCAGCCTCCTGCAGTAGATCTTACTAACATCAGGGTGCCATTGGCTTCATCTCTGACTGACTCTCTTCTCAGCCGGTTCTCACATACTCACGTGCCCTTGGGGGCAAGTAATGTGTCTAAGTAACGGCTGCCAGGCTTTATTCATAGTGTGTTACTCTCCCATGGTCCCATGGCTCTCTTATTCGTGTCTTTAGCTTTTGTGCTTGGATCTCAGGTTCAGCTTATCCACAGTCTCTTGATTTTTCCCTCCCAGATTTGGTTTTCCCCATCTCATAAATGACTGCGCCATCTTTACATTTGCCTGGGCCAAAAACGGTATCCTGCCTCTTTGCATTCCCTCTTGGCCTGTAGCGAGCAAGTCCTGTTGACTCTGCCTCTGAAGTGTGCCAGGACTGCCCAGCTTTGAACAGCCACCTTGCTGCCACCCTCGGCCAGAGCCGTCGTTGTCCCTTGGCTGGCGCCTCCCAACTATTGCCCTTGGTGGCCTACAGGTGTCCTACTAGTTCCTAAGTGGCCAGGCCTCTGCTGCTTCTCTCAGCCCCTCCCAGCCGTATCCCTCAGTCTCTGTCTGCCTTGCAGTGACTTCAGCACGCCCTGTGTGGAGGCCTCAGGGCCTCACAGGGCTGAGTGTCCAGCTTTCACTGCTCTTCTCCGAGGAATCTGCCTGGCTTGCCCTCACTCCCTTCAGATTTTATAGTCAGCATCTTTACAGCATTTATCTCCATATACAATTTGATCACCTTCTACTCTCTACCCTAGACACTAAGCCTTATAAAATCAAGAGGTTTTTGTTTTCGTTTTTTTTTTTTTGATCCACTGTTGTATGCCCAGTGCCTTAGAGAGTGCCAGGCAATAGTAGGTACTTAGTAGGTGCTTGTTGAATGAACTGAACGAATGATGACACAGAGAGCTATTACCTTGTAAACATGGTTTGACAGGTTTTTATTTGCTCTGAGAGTTTTCAGAGTTGGTTAAACCACTCTGTCATATTATTTCCCAACTTTCTTCCTCCCCAAAGTTTAGTAACGTTGGTTATGATAGAACTTCCCAGGAAGGGGTTACTCACATAAACAGTTTTGGCCCTAAGGAAGTAACCATTGCCTGGGCTGATGACTGCTTCCAAAGCCTAAAGCTGGGTGTCTTGTCTTATTTTGAAGGTTTTTAACCGACTCTGGTTCCCTCTTGTGCGACCTGGTGCTCTTGCTGTCCTCTCCCACATGCTGCTTAGTTTCCAGCACGCGCCGGAGGCCTTCCACGTGGTGAGTCTGACACGCCTTCTCCACTGGAAGCCAGACTTTACAATGCTAGTGTGATGTTGAGTCAACGTGTGTGTCGTGACAAGATTGGACACTAGGCCTAAGTCTTCCCAGTTTCGTGTAGTTTTACAATTTCTTAGGAAATTGAGCACGTTGGATTTCCCGCCAAAGAATGTCTTTCATAAAGCTTTGGGTCTCACCAGAACTGCTCCACCTGCAGCCACTCCCAACAACTGAAAGTTAATGGTCTTTGTGAGAATTCGCACTGGTAGTGTCACTCATGGGTGTCTGTTGCACTTTAAACAGTGTAGAGGGAAAAAAGTGGTTGAAACCCATTAGCCACTTCAAAGTTTTGAAAACACCGATCTTTGTTACAGAGCCTCAGATTGTTCACTCACCCCATTTCCTACAAATTCTAGTGACACCTTCACCTATAACCCTGCCACTTCTAACCAGCTACATCTCTAGTTTTGATTTCATTTATTTGATTGCTTGTTTTTACAGGTGAAAAGTAGCAAATTTTATTTCAGGAACTTGCCCACTGAGTTTCTGTAGTTCACCACAGGAAAGCAGTGCTACATGTGGCTACTCCTCCAGAGTCTGACCGTCACCTTTACAGAACTGGTAACTCATTGTCAGTTCGCCCACAATGTAAAAATACTAAGGTACCGACTTACTACATCTCTATAAAACTAGCCACTAGAATTTGTAGGAAATGCACTGAGAGAAAAGCTTTCTGGTGCTGTGCAGCAAAGATGAATGTTTTCAGAAGACACTGATGAAGAAGTGCAGAGTTCCCACTGTTGATCTTAACTAAAAATAAAGCCAGCCCCAGAGACCAGGTGCCCACAAGGCTTCTCAGTGCCTCGTTTCCACTGAAGAGAAATCTGTAGACTTTGCCCTAAGTCAGTCTTGCACACAGGTGATTACATTATATATTACTGCCCACAGCTAATTGCCCTAATTGTTGAGCTTGATCATCACTCATCAAATCTCAAACTGTATGTACTATAGCAGGCATACCAGTAAAGTGTCTTCCAGAGGAAAAAACATCAATTATGACTGTCTTCAGAGCAATCATAGGCAGGCATTTGAGAAAAGTTTTCTTTTCAGAATTTCTGAGGAGATTCTCTAATATAACTTAATCATCCATTCTAAAATTACTTGCTTTTCACTCTGGGGACATTCCTTAAGCTCTGTGATTAGTCACTAATGCTATACCAGTTTCTTTGCTGATAGCTTTGAAAAGGTGGAAGAAATCTCCTTACCTTGCTATTTGAAGTAACAAATGGTTGACTTTGGATATTCGGCTAATAATTGAACTAAGCAAGTCACTTATTTAAGAACAGCTAGATCTGAAATTGAACACTGTGCTCTGGCTTAGTGGACCGACCTACTGTCCACAGGTTATATAGCCTTACTTGCTACTAACCAACCTACTGTCCACAGGTTATATAGCCTTACTTGCTACTAACCAACCTACTGTCCACAGGTTATATAGCCTTACTTGCTACTAACCTGAACTTGGGCACCTGGCTGTGGGCCACGTGATAGTTAAGTCGTGTATAACTCAGCAAAGGACTGTATAATGCATATTATTATGGACCAAATTTCTTTTTTCTTATGTTTTCTGTAAGTGGAAAAATTTGTTTAGATAGAAGCTATGGCATTATGGTAATAATGGAGAAAGAAAAATAATCAAAATTTCAAAAAAATCATACACATTTCCTCAAATAGTAACTTAAGTTTAATGAGTATTAAAACAATCTCTACAGATTCATTTGATTTAAAACTCAAACTTCCTTGTATATAGACAATAAAGACCTGTTTGAAATGCAGAGTGCAATCAGGTAATAAGGTTGTCTATTATTCTAACTGTTCTTTATAAGACATTGCCTTATAGATGGGGATTGGTGGGGTAAGATTATAATTCAGATATGCTTAGCCATAGAGTGAATTCCCTGGGTCTGTTGCTTTCATTGCCACATTGCTACCTTTGAAGGACATGAGATTGGAGCAGATGGAACAAAAGCCAAATGTTATTTGACACCTCAATCATAAGAGTAAAATAAGAGGGGAAAAGACTAGAATAGTAATGTTAATTTAAGAATATGATTGTTCTGTTTAGGGGAAGGGAAGATGGTTGGGATATTACTGTAACTGCTATTAATGAAGCTTGATGTAAGACCATAAAGCTCTCTGTAACTTTGCCTTTACACACAGAAAATGTCATACAAGTAGAACATTAGATATCAAGGTACAAAGTATAAATATGTAGTACTAGGTTACAGTTAATAATTAGTTGGAACAAGAACTGCATTATATTAATGGAATAAGCCATTTCTCCACAACAGTCTGTTAATACTCTTTTAAACATATGATTGACTATTGACATTTTAATTTAGTTTTTATTATGTAATTATTACTATATTGTTTCTTATAAAAAGACATTGTTGTGCCTGTTAGCAATACTAACAGCTTTCTACTTGTTTATGATCAATTAGTATACTAGATTTCCCTTTTGTTTTAACTCCAGTTCCTTAAAAAATAAGTGGGCTTATGATTTCTTTTTGAAGAAGAGATGGGATTGTTAGTAAGGATAGCACACTAACATAAGACATCATCCCTAAGAGTATCTAAAAGAAAGATAATCCTATACCTGAGCTGTAATTTTAGTTCCAACCTAAATTATGGATATTTCAAGACTTCTTCAAGTAGTCTTGAATGCCAGGTTATGTGTGACTCTTTGCATGTGAGAAACCTCAAATCCACACTAGATGGCGCTCTCAAGCCTAGTCTACGAAATGCATTTGTAAGTTTGTTCCTTTGAACAATCTAGTAAATATACAGCCCTAATTCTTTTCACTCAGGACATTTTTGTCTAGAATGGCAGGCTGCTCTTTTGAACCTTAGTGTGTATTTATAAGGGTGAGTAGAGGGGTTTATCTAGAATTACAGTTACATGGGACATTGAAAACTAGATTAACCTTGGTAGTCTAGAAAGTTTAGTTATAAGCTTTTGTAGAAAAAAATTAGGCCCTGAGCCTGTAGAAAAGGATTTGCTGGCCATGTAGCCCTTTCCATGATGTCTGTAGGCTAGAGCATTTCTTGCCAGTTTGTGTAACTTGAGGAATGTTTATCCTTTTTTCTCTTCAGGTTGTTCCTCACATAGTTAATTTAGTTCACGCCTGCAAATGTGATGGCCTGCCTTCCAGTGCAGCCTTCTTAGTGCAGTTGGCAGAGTTGATACACTGCATGATGTATCATTATTCTGGATTTCCAGATCTCTACGAACCTATTCTGGAGGCAATAAAGGTATGATGATGGTTACACTCGTATTTGAAGAGCTACAGACCATGATGTGATCTGAATTATTAACCCTGTTTCTTCAGTTCTAAAATGTTATCAATTTTAAGATATATCTTTAAATTTGTAATAATGTTTGGAGAAATTTGTTTCAAAAGAGATGCTACAATATATACATCAGTGTTGTGTCCCAATAGCAGAGGTGCTAAAATTTCTAAAAAACATTTTAGAGTCAAGGAAAGACAGTTTAATAAAATTTGACTTTGGTTCCTTCCCTTCTTTTATTCTATTTTTTGCTGTGACTATTCATGAATACCCATGCTTCATAAACTCTCTACTTGAATTATTTGTGACCTGTATACCTTCAATAAAGGGTCAGAGTAATCACACTTTTCCTCTTAGTAAGCTTTTTGCATGAATAGCATGTAGCTAAAGCATGGGCAACTTGCCTCAGCCCGATTTAATCAGAAGTTACTAGAAATCAGATCTATTAGTTATGCTTCCATTTGGGGTCTGAAATACAACACAAATGTCAATTACCTTTACATCTTTCTGAAATAAACAAAACATGTTCCTTTTACTATGCAGTTGGCTAAGTCAAGCTAATTTTGATGATACCATCCCTGTTCATCTGTTAACCACCCCACAGGGCAGCCTTTGACACACCAATAGTAAATGTCTTGATGTGAACAGCTTTTGTCATGTGGATTTGTGGTAACATCAATAGCTTCTGTGATGTCATTCTTCAGTTGAAATGCTAATAACAGAGAAAGTCTCAGAAGGAGCAAAGGGTTCACTGTTAGCCCAGGTACTTTCTCTTGGCGTTCTGGCACTACCACAAAAAATCCAGGAGTTAAAGTCCTCCAGAAAATGTTTTCTAAGGGCTTAGTGTCAGAGGGTATTAGCAGTGCAAAAAAAAGCCTACATGATTTTACCAGTTTTCTTTATCCATTGTTCTGCTTGTGCTTGAAATAACTCACTTATTAAATTATCTCATGTTGCAAAGTAGATCAGAAGAATCTGTATCTTGTAAAATCTTCTGTATGAGTAAGCATGAGGTTGAGTTTTTTTCTGTCACAGGCCAATGATACTTTTCATTTTTTTGAGGTATCATTGACAGCATGTTAGTTTCAAGTGGTAGCATAGTGAGTTGATAATTTGTTTATTTTGTGAAATCAGCACAATAAATCTAGTTAACAGCCATTACCATATATACAGAATTTTTCTTGTGTTGAGACTTTTAATAATTACCCTCAGCAACTTTTAGATCTGCAGTATATTATTGTAAATACTTGCCATGCTGTAGATCACAGCTTTTCTTGCATGCCCTATTCATTTTCTATCTGGAAGTTTGTGCCTTTTGATCCCACTTGACCCAACTCTTCCCCCCCTCCCCCAACTCCTGGGAACTACCATCTATGTTAACATGCTTTCATTTTTCATCCCTTGATTACTTTAAGCTTTTATATCTAAAGGTGAAAACTGAGCAAATATTAGAAGTGAATAAAAAGATTTTTTTGTTTGACTTAGTTGTGTGCTGTTTTGTATCTTTACTCGGTTGCCTTTGAATAGCATTGCAGTATACTTTCTGACTTCTGAGTTTTCATTTTGTAAACATTTTCTGGCAGATATGAAATATATATAAATAGTTGAATATCTGGATGTTGAGTATCCTTCAGCTTGATAAATTCTACCTCCAGGGTATGTTTATTTGTGTAGCATATTTTGATTTTTGATGAGTGACCAAATACTGTCAGTAATTTCAGAACTAAGTAGGAGCTTAAATGTCAGTGGAAAAATCTTCTTTGTGTTAATTTAGTGAACATAGTGTATATTTTTAAAACTGTTTTTCCTCTTCATAATCTAGGAGTTCCCTAAACCCAGTGAAGAGAAGATTAAATTGATTCTCAGTCAAAGTGCCTGGACTTCTCAATCCAATTCTTTGGCATCTTGCTTATCTAGACTTTCTGGAAAATCTGAAACTGGGAAAACTGGTCTTATCAACCTTGGAAATACGTGTTACATGAACAGTGTTATACAAGCCTTATTTATGGCCACAGAGTAAGTTTAAACTGTAGGCATTGGTGCATACTAGTGAAAAATAAGATGGTGGCTTATCTGCATTACTTCTTGTTAATGGCAGGAATGTCACTGTTTTCCTTTATTGCCTTAGAAAAGAAACTGCTTCTAGTGCTCAGGAACTATTACATTGTTATAGAACTATAACTTATAAAAATTCTACTTGGCAGTTATATTACACTTAGAATACCAGTATCTTTGGAATTACTCACAGTTTAATACTCATTAACATCACACAGGGATTATTTGAGCTGATTCCAAAGGGTTTGTGTCTTCAAGTACTAATTTGTTGTTCTGTAAGACTTTTTTTTAACATATATTTTTTGATAGGGTCATGTTTACTTTTTTCTACTTGTAGATACTTCACAACTTCTCACATCAGTAAGTTATTTCATGCTGTTAAAGAAATTCAAGCTCTTCTTCCCACCCCAAGTTGATAGATACTAAACAAATATATAATCAGACATACTGGTTTTGCCACTACAGATTTACTTCCTGATCCAAACAGATAGAAAACAGCCAAACAGATAGAAAATTGGAGATTGATAGCTAAGTTATGCTAATGATAAAATGATAATTTTTATTTAATTTAATTTAGTTTCATAAAATAATGACAAACTTTTACAAAATGTATAAAGCATGGTTGAATTTTTTCTCTTCATATTAAAAAGTATTTATGGAATTGACTCACAAAGATGTTTACAAATTGAGTTCCAAGTTTTTATGCCTACCTAGAGAAATCATAAATACGAGATGAAGAGTTAATTTTCCTTTTTGTTCCTGGCCCCAGAATATGCTATCACACTTAGATATTTTTTATATGGTTTAATGTTTACTTTATTTGAAGGTTGTTTGAGATTTGTTTCTTTTTTTAGAAAATACAAACCTTATACACAAGTGATAGTAGGCATAAGTCTGAAAGAATCCATATTTCATCTCCAAAGATCATTTAGTTCAGCCATCCCATTTCACGGATGACAGAAGAAGCAGAAACCCAGAGAGTTACCACTGGCTGCAGCAGCTCAAAGAGCACATCTTTCTGTGCAGTGGACAGTGGTTTTTCTTAAATAGACACCATGTTTTATGAATTCTATGTAATTAAGAAAAACTAAATTTAAAAGTATATAAAATAAAAATCACACAAATATTTAGTAAAAGTAACTTAAAAGTAATGTTTAACTAATTTGAAATCAGAAATCCTATTGCTGTTGTAATTTACTGTTTTTTGGCATATTACTCCAGATCTTTGTTTTTTGGGTTTTTTTTTTGCTAAAGTTATAAAATCTTTTGTACTGCAAAATCCAAATGCAGTTTTTTGTTTGTTTTTCACTATTCGTAAAGATTCTCACATATTCTCTTTCACTTGCTTTTTATCTTCTAATTATGTTGGAAATCATCTCATGTTGGAGCAGTTACACTGTTTGTTTCCTGAATAGCTTGTTCTCTCCTTTCTACTGAGTCTTCTGCTTTTTCATAATGATTTATATGTGTGTATATATAAATATACTGAATAATAATCCTTTGTTGCATTCTTCCTTCCAGTGAATGCAATTCAAAGTGTTTTTTTTTGTGATATATTTCATAAAATCAGATTAGTGAAGGCTGCTATTTTATTTCAGTCAGGTGTCCTTTTTTATTTATAGTGTGTGTAGATTTTAGAAAGCTTTCCCCTTCCAAATTTTTTTAAAAGAGATATATTTATTTGTTAATAAAGAACCGGGGAACAAGCCAGAGGTGCACGGGCAGTGAGAGGATTCACCAGAGACAGAGTGGGGAGCAGAACAGGCAGATTGACAAAGTACCCTACTGAAGGGAGCAGTGAGCAGGCCAGGAGAGGTCCACCAGGCCATGTGGGTCACCATCCTGGCTGGAGATCAAACTGAGGCTAGCTTCACAGTGCTGCACTTTAACCGTTGCGCCACCAGGGAGGGCCCTCCCCTTCTAAATTCGCCCCTTAATTTTTTTTCATAAGTAGTTTTGCATTTTATGAGTTTAGCTCATTCCTGTGTGGCATTTGTGATGGTATAAAAATCTTTCCTAACTCTGGTAAGAGAGAAAGATGTACATTGTGTGGCATTGTACAGAAAGGGAAAGAGATAAACTTCAAAATATAGTATAGGAACAATAGGGATAACTAAATACCTATATTCTGAACAATTTCTTATCCTTTCCCTTTCTTTATAACATCACACTCTTTAAATCACTAGCTGTGTGGTATGTCTTGGTGATGGTATCATAGGCCATTGCCAGGCCACAGAGCACGCCTCACTTCCTGCCACCGCCCTCTGTACACACAGCCTCCCTCTGTACAGGTAGAGCCCCTGCTAAGGAAGGCCATCAGGTAAGTGAAGTTTTACTTTGAGGATAATAAGTTCTTGAGTAATCTTCCTTTTAAGCCTTTAAAAATACATGTGTGATATACATGCAAACATAAGTCATATTTTACTCTCTTTCAGTTTCAGGAGACAAGTATTATCTTTAAATTTAAATGGGTGCAATTCATTAATGAAAAAATTACAGCACCTTTTTGCTTTTTTGGCTCATACACAGGTGAGTGTGGACACAGTATATATGTATTAACTTGACTGGTGATATTCTTTAAAGCTCACATCTCAAACTTGGAGAACTTTTTAACTGGTGAAATAATACTTAATCTCATCTAACGTTAAATTCACTAAAAAATTATAAGGCCATCCTGCCTGAAGTACTTGGATATGGAAATATGCCCTACATTTTAATTTCTTCCTCTTCCATCAGTGTAGATGATATTATGTTTCCCTATTCTAGTTCTTATATATAAAGTCTGATTTTCTAATCAATAAATAAGCTTCTTCATAAAAAAGCTTCTTTTTGTAAATGTATTTTTAACAGTTTATAGATACTAAGTTGATAGACCATTACAACAGTGAACAAATAAAATAATTTTGTGGTAACTTTTTTCTTCCCATTATATATGTTTGTTCATTAAGTTCAATAGTTGAAAATTTGTAATCTTTCACATCCACAAATTAATTCAAGGAAATGAATTTCTACTAATATCAAAGATTTATACAGTGACTGTTCATTCATTCAGCAGAGATCTGCTGAGAGATACAGTAAAAAGTCTAAGGTACATCTAGGTCAAATTGGAGACCCTTTATGTTTTGAACAATATTATGAAAATATGTATCATTTATAAATAATACCTGTTAGTATTTTCTGGCTTTACTCTGATTTAATTTCACAGATGTCAAAAGGAACAGGTAGTTGGAACCAGAAGAGAAGATAGACTGAAAATTGGTGGGATTGAGTTGATGGGAATGTCTTTACTTCCTATATACAAGCAGAGATACTAACGTCTCCTAGATACAAGCTGAGATACTGAAGTCTTTAGTATGACTTCTTCAGTGGAAAGACTGGAGACAGGATTGACAATGAAGGTGATAGTGATGACTCTTAAGTAGTAATGTACTCAAAATTTATCACTTTATTCTTTCTTTGTCTAGGGGTAATAATTTCACAAACTTTGCAAGGAAAATAGTCTTCCAACTCTTTAACATTGTTTCCTGTTAAACTGACATCTGCACTGACTTTATCACTAGTCTTTATGTACTGTATACTATATATAATGTGTGTGAGAATTAGGATGCATATAGATGTACTGTGTCATGTAAACTCTGTTCACTTGTTGAATCAGAGCTACTAGGGGAAAAGGCAGTTTTCCCGCTCTCCAGAAAAGCAGAAAATAGCAAGAGAATATAACGAAGGTTTTGTCACAGTTGAGACTATCTGATGGCAAACTGACAAGAACTTCAGGAAGAAAAAATGTACTATATAATAAAAAGCCTTTTTTATCCTATAATTAATAAATCTGACAATTAAAGAGCATTTAAACTCTCTAGCTCCTTTGCTGAGAAAATGTGCATGTCATAATTCTTAATCCTCCAAACCAAGCTTGAGGTAGTAATTGGTATCCCCATCTTACAAATGAAGAAATGGGCTTCCATTACTTGTTCTCAAAGGCGGGCAAACAAGTGACAGCAGTGAGATGAGACCAGTGACTCCAGAGCTCATATTCACCCACTACACTGAGCTTCTTTCAAAATGCCATAGATACCTACTTTATAATTTTACTTAGCTAAAGACGCTATTAAATATTACAAGTACTCAAAATGTCAGGACACTTCTAAATTTTTAAATCAAAATACTATCTTTTAGACATCTTTTCAGTTGTGTTTTCTTGTGGCAAAATCTAGCATTTGAAGCTAGATTGCTTCAAAACCAGAGCAGCCTCTTAATTTAAGTAAAAAAACAGAAACCAGAGTCCAGAGCGGATTGGCCACGCTGTTCACATTGTGGGCGTTCCCACCTTAATCCCAGGCAGAGACTCGAGCCAACTGAAGGTGCGCATGGCACTGGGGAGTGGTTATTTCTTATCCAAAATAATGTATTCATAAACAGTCTTTGCAGATTTGGTTTTTAAAAAAAATCATAGACCCAAGCACCTCATGGCACACAGGGATCGTTCTAGGAGTGTTAATTAAGGGTTAAAGAGACCTGGTTCTGATTTAACCCCCTCTGCCACTAATTTGGCTACTTGACCTTGGGTGAGTGGTAGTAATTTTTCTCAGTCTTAATTCTTACCTACAAAATGGTAAGGTTTTTTTTTTTTTTAAGGTTTATTTATTTATGCACACAGAACTGGGGTACAGGCCAGAGGTGCAGGGAAGGTGAGAGGATTTACCAGAGATGGTGTAGGAAGATCTGATCAGAGAGATTGATGAAGTACACTGCTGAGGGGAGCAGCAGGCGAGTCAGGAGAGGTCTGCCACACTCTGGGTCAGCCCCAGGACAGGGATCAAACTCCCACCGAATGAGCTTGCAGTGCTGGCTTTAACCCACTGCGCCATCAGGGAGGGCCCAAGATGAGTTTTTGCTAAGGATTTTTGGTAGAGGGTAAATGCAGTGCACGTTTTAAGCAGTCTTCATTAAACTGTGAAGATTTCAGTTATTTGGTTCATGTTATGAAACTCACTTCCTTGTATTTTCTTTATTGATATCAAGAGGGAAGCATATGCACCTCGAATATTCTTTGAGGCTTCCAGACCTCCGTGGTTCACCCCCAGATCACAGCAAGACTGTTCTGAATACCTCAGGTTTCTGCTGGACAGGTAAAAAGTATTTTTAAAGTTATAACTTGAATTGTGTTCTTTTATTGCAGATTTGTTTACAGAATATTGTTTGTACCTTTAAAATAATTCTCAAATGTTAATCTTTTTTAAAACCTTACATTCACTCCATGTTTCTTGTTTTCTTTCTTTAAGACTAGCTGTTCTCAGAGTCTGGTACAGTGACCCCTGAGGAGTTCCCAAGACTTTCAGGGGACTTTCCTTACCCAGTTCATTTCCTTACCCAGTTAATTATCTATGTATAAGTAGTTGATGTGGGCTGCTTTGGAAGGACACGCTGCTTCCAGAAAACATGGTGAACTGGAGAGCAGTTGGAGAATCCAGCTCTCTTTTGTTAAACCAGATATCCTAGTTCTTTCCAAATTTTAAAACAATGCCATCTCCTCACTAAATTTTTTAGATCTTAGAAAATACAGCTGTTTTCTACACCAAAAAAAGAATATTTTTTATTATACTATATTTTTTATTATACTATATAACAGGTTTATTATTGTTCTAAAATGTACTAAGGTATTAGTTTTACTCTCAGGTTTTGAATATAGTATATATCGATAGATATAACCACACAAATGAAAGCTCTTGGTCCCTCAGTTAAAGAATGTTAAGAGATCTTAAAGACAAAAATTTAGTAACTGCTCCTTTACAGCCGTTCATAGTTTAATGGCTTTGGTATGTTTTATTGTCTCCTAACCAGCTAGTCAATAAAATCTATTCTTGTGTCTGCTTGTCTTTGCGTCCCTCCTGCTCTGGGGCTGACTGGCAAAGCAAGTGCAGCCCTTCCTTCACTCAACTAAGTGTTGAGTCGTTTCTTTGTGCCAGGCTTTCTACAGGAGCCAGGCAGACAAAGACACGAAAGTAGCTTGTGGACGTATGTACCTTAAGTGCTGTAAAATAGTGCAATGAACACAGGGTGATCAGAAAATAAAATAGTAATAATCCCTGACATCTCTTTTATTCTGTATTGTCTGTTTTTATCCCTTGTGATTGCAAGAGGAGAAACTTCATTTTTTTTTAAATTATTTTATAAAAATAATTTGTATAAGCCACCAAAATCTATATGTAAGCTTAAGTGAAGTAACTACATAATGATACACTCTCGTACAGGCTCCATGAAGAAGAAAAGATCTTGAAAGTTCAGTCCTCACACAAGCTTTCTGAAAGCCTGGGGTGCAGTGAAACTTCTTTGCAAGAGCTGGCCAGTAAGACGGCTGTCCTGACAGAGACCACTTGCACAAGTGATGCTGAGAAGACTTTAATAGAAAGAATGTTCGGGGGGAAACTGCGGACTCACATATGTTGTCTGCACTGCAGGAGTACCTCACAGAAAGTGGAAGCCTTCACGGACCTTTCGCTTGCCTTTTGTCCTTGCTCTTCTGTGGAAAACCTGTCTTTTCAAGTTACAGCACCATCACTTAGTACACTCGAGGATGGCCCCAGGCCAGCCAGCGTTCCTGGGCCTTTGCAGGACCCAGGAGGTTCTAACCCAGCAGGCGCCTTGGTCTGTGACTCAGCGGTGACAGAAAGCATGGTAGGCAGCCCCCCAGACGAGTTCTGCTGTGCTGAGAACACCTCTGCACAGGTGGATGAAGCCAGCAGCATCCTTGTTAATGAAGATGTACCTCAGAAACCAGGAAGTGACTCCACACCTTCAGTGACTGACCTGCTAAATTATTTCTTGGCTCCAGAAATTCTTACTGGTGACAACCAGTATTATTGTGAAAACTGTGCCTCTCTGCAAAATGCCGAGAAAACTATGCAAATCACAGAAGAACCTGAGTACCTTATTCTTACTCTCCTGAGATTTTCATATGACCAGAAGTATCATGTGCGAAGAAAAATTTTAGACAACGTGTCATTGCCACTGGTGTTGGAGTTGCCAGTTAAAAGAACTACTTCTTTCTCCTCGTTGTCAGAAAGTTGGTCTGTAGATGTCGACTTCACAGATGTGAGTGAGAACCTAGCTAAAAAATTAAAGCCTTCTGGGACTGAAGAAGCAAGCTGCCCCACACTGGTGCCCTATCTGCTTAGTTCTGTCGTTGTGCACTCTGGCGTGTCCTCCGAAAGTGGGCATTACTACTCTTATGCCAGGAACATCACGGGAACAGAGTCTTCGTACCAGAGATGCCACCAGGCTGAAGCTCTGGCATTAGCTTCCTCCCAGAGCCGTGCACTAGAGAGAGAGAGCCCCAGTGCGATCATAGAGCAGGATTTGGAAAATAAAGACTTATCAAAAGAATGGTTTTTATTTAATGACAGCAGAGTGACATTTACTTCATTTCAGTCAGTCCAGAAAATTACCAGTAGGTTTCCAAAGGATACAGCTTATGTGCTTTTGTATAAAAGACAGAACATCACAAATAGTTTAAGTGGTAGTGATTCAGCCAGTGGACTCTGGGTAAACGGAGACCCGCCTCTGCAGAAAGAACTGATGGATGCGATAACGAAAGACAATAAATTATATTTACAGGTAAGCTGGGGGAAGGGTGCGTCATTAGCAGGAAATGTTTAAACACTCAGCAGGCGATTAAATGAGCATCCTAACTTCTACATTTTCCACGCTAACTGAAAGGTAGTAAGAGTAATGATTCTGAAATTTGAGTCTGAGTTTTGTATGAAATTTTTTACTGGTATGATTATCTTATTTACCAATGTTGTGAATTAGTTATGAAGAATCATTTGTCTACAGATGCAGCAGATCTTAATTGTTTTTAATTATAGGGGGTGTTAGCATTAGAAAATCATGCCAAATAGAAAGTTTCATAAAATTTAAGTATCTTCCCTCATTCTGTCAGCCCTACCATGAGGGAGAAGCAAGCTAACTGTCTTTTAGACCTTTGTATAAATATTTTAAGAGCTATTTACTGACATTTTGGTAGCTAAGATAACAGACGTTAAAAGATAGAATATGTAAAGAAAGTGTGTTTGGATTCTTTGAGGATCTGCACAGTAAGCCAAGGAGATAATTAGTAAATAAAAAACATGGAATAAAGATTTCATATGAGCTGAATTTATTTATAAATATGCTTTTTACAAGGAGTTAGTGATTTTGTTAAAGTTAGTAAAGGTCTGATGGAATTATTTTTCTGTGAAACCTGCTAACTTCCTATCCACATAAATCACCAACTGTAAATTAAAACTGAAATTGTAGGTATGTTAATTGAGTAGTCCAAATAATTGTGTTTTAAAAAGCTAAGTTGCCATAAAACTAAAAGATGCAAGTAAAAGAAATGGACCACTGTTAAGATATTGATTTTTGCAGGGACGTTTCCTTAAATGTTTTCAAATTTACTGTAAAATATTCAATATGATACATTTTTAAAGAGAGAAGGCACATTCTAGAGTAACACAAACTATATACAAAAAATTAAAAGTTCAGGGCCCTCCCTGGTGGCGCAGCGGGTTAAAGCACAGCACTAAGAAGCTTAAGCCACTTCTGCATGAGTTCGATCCCCGCCTGCCCCAGAGGAGATCCACATGGTGTGGCAGACCTCTCCTGACCTGCCCGCTGCTCCCCTCAGCAGTGTACTTCATCGATCTGCCTGTTCTGCTCCCTGCGCTGTCTCTGGTGAAGCCTCTCACCCTCCGCATCTCTGGCCTGTACCCCAGTTCTGTGTGAATAAATAAATAAATCTTTAAAAAAAAAAAAATTAAAAGTTCAGTATACTTGTTAGAACTGATTCAATACCAAAGATTTTAACATCCAGTCAAAAGGCTTATTTATGATTAAGGTAATAGAGTATATTCCACTCTGTTCTTCTTGCCAGATATTAACCATATGACTCTTGAAGTTTGGAGAAGTGGAGGGAGGGGAGAGGGTTAGGTAGCAACAGAAATGGTGTATAATATAAAATGTGGAAATAGGACCCAGTGACTTTTTGAAATATGCGAACTCTATCCGCAACTGGTGGGCTATTTATCAGGGGAGAAAACGGGTTTTTAAAAGAGTGATTCCTCTCACTTCTATGACTGCGATGCCAGAGCTCTGAGCCACCTCAGCTCCTGCGCTGGGCCTAGCTCACATGACTCTGTGTGCCCCTCAAGCCCTTCCCGAATCACTGTATCTTTCCAGGGCAGTACGGCTTGACCGCAGATTCCTTCAGTATTGTTTCTCCCACTAGGGAGCGTGGTCAGTGTCTGATGTGAGGCGGTTTCTCAGACACTGAATGGTCATCTCGGTGCCTGGTTGGGTAGTTGACTCTGAAGCTTGAGCAATGAGGAATTTCTTTCTCTGTGTGCCTATTTCTCATGTATATGACTTGTCTATTTTTCTATTGAGAAATGTTAGGACTGTGGGGCTTTGGTTTCTTTCGTAAAGTGAGGTATTGAAACAGAATGACCATTAGGATCTGTCTTTCTGTAGATACATCAGGTTTTGCTCTCTGTCGTGCTAGTTCCATCTGTGATTATGTATTATACTTTACTAAGATTTGGTAAGGAGTAATGGGAATATTTTTAAAGTTACTGGGATTTGAAGGATACTTATTTAAAAAGAGAAAAGACATTTTTAAGTATTTATATAAGTGATGTATCCATCCATTGTATTTAGGATTTTAACTTTATAAAAATTTCTTTTTGACTCTAGGAACAAGAGCTGAATGCTAGAGCCCGGGCCCTGCAAGCTGCATCTGCCTCCTGTTCCTTCCGGCCCAATGGATTTGATGACAATGACCCACCGGGAAGCTGTGGACCAACTGGTGGAGGGGGTGGGGGGGGATTTAATACAGTCAGTAGACTCGTATTTTGATCCCGAGTCTGCGAAATGCACTGAACACAAAACATCCAATCCTATGACTGTTAAAGTGTCAGACTGTAACAAATACCTTATCTATCTTCTATTTTTCTTTTCATTAGACCCTTATACTTTAAGAAAACACACTCAGTGTTTGTTTTTATTTTCTTGACAATACATTTGTTAACAAATGCATCATGGGAAAAAAAAAATCTACCTCTTTAAATTCCATTTGCTTTTATGGTTAGACATGCTTGACCAAAAATTTTTAGAGGAAAATAAGTACCTGGTCCCTAATTAAGCTGCATTAAATTTAGTAGAGGCATTTAAATGATCTAATCGTTAAATCTTATTAAACAAAAGATATTATTCATTTAGTATCTTTATGAAAGAATTGATGTTGAGGCAAAAGAACTATTGTTTAAAGAGAGAAAATGCTTTGTTTCCTGTACAGTTACCCAATTAACTATACAAATCTTTGAAAATGCTAGAGATGATACGGTCTCTGATGAAGGCAATAACAATTTATCAAGCTATAGTATTTTTCAGATTTTTGTGTTTAGTGCTGTCTTCAGCATCACTGTATCTGTATTTCTAGCACAAATGTTTAAAAAGATTATTTATACATAAGTGCTGAACTGATTTTAAGAAAGGTGCATGATCCTGTAGGAACATTTTTAAAAATTGCTAACTTTGTAGTCTTTCTAATTGTTTAAGGATTTTAAAATTCTATTTCAGGGAGTATATATATATCATCTGTGTGTGTTGAAGGAGGTGAGTTCTGTATGTGCCTTGCAGTACCGTAATTCAAAAATAGGGATCTTTGACTGCGGAAGTTTTTTTTTTTTTTTTTTAATGAACTGTTAGGAATTAATTTTTTGTGCTAACATTAAAATTATAACTTTTGAAAAGTATTAGCTTTTCCTGAAGTAAAATCTGATTGTTCTAAATCAATAAGTGTGATAGCTTGTTTTTAACTTTCTGAACTTGTACATTGGGGATGTTTTCTTCATTTGACTCATGTTTTGCACAGTTGTTTGCTATTTCGTAGTTTCAGATGAAATGTTGAAATGTCAGGCCCTGCCATCCCACTTTTCTTTCCTGGAAACTGGAAACAAGTCAGTTCTCCTGGGTCTTGATTACATAGTATGCAAGAGTTATCCCAGTCCTCCTCCTTCCCAGAAAGTTTTTTCTTTTTTTTTCCCTGAAGGTTTTAATTTATCCATGGTCATACATTGCTCTAAAGATTGCTCTCATTTATTCTGAAAACATGTTAAGGAAAGAATGTTCTTTAGTGATTTACAGTTTATCTTTTTCCCAAGCTTTTAATGGCACTGGTTAAAAACAACTCACTCCTAGCCTTTTTCTAATCACTAGAAAGACTAGGAAAGCTGACCCAAGATATTTGCAGAATTGAGAATTGTTTTCCTTATAAGTAAGTGGACCGGGGGGGTTGCAGACTTTGTTTCCTACGGCCTTCTTCTTACTCGCACAGTGAATTTCTGAGCTGCTGTGAACGTCCATTTATACGCTGGCTGGGTACTTTCTCTCCTCTTGAAAGTGTTTTAAGGTCTGACTGAAGGCTGACTGAGTATATTGCGGTTTCTCCTTTGTTCAGTCCAAGGTAATCAGTTTAAATGAAGCTGCCACTTACTGCTACTAATAAGAATACATTAGGCCTTGCTCATAACAAAAATGAAAAGCTGGAACTCTAAGTCTGTTCCTTTCAAAGATCTTTATTAACACATTGAGAAAAACTATTTTTTTTTTAGATATATGCTAGCAAGAAAACATATGTGACATCAATCCTGGTAACCCACCCACTAAGCACTCTGACTCATGAGAGTCACATTGCTCGAGCTGGAGGAGGTAATCTAGCTCATTCTCCATTCAAGCATCTGCCCACCACCTCTCTCAGCTGAGCAGTCAGCGAGCAGAGCAGCTTTGAGCTAGAGACCCTGACTTGTGTCCAGACTTAAGATCCCCAAAGGACCCTCTGGATCTAGAAATAAAGACTCCTTATGACGTCCAGAGGGACCAGGGGCCCTTTGGACATGTTCAACAGCCAATTATTAGTTGGAAACAAAAAAGCACTTTAAAATTGTCTTCACTTTAAATATATAACAACAGTGCTTCTCTTCATTTTTAAAATAATAATAATGATAAACAATAATGATGATGAATAATAATGAATAATGATGATGAATAATTTTTAATATTACTAAAAATAATAATAATAATATACCAGAGACATTTTACAGGGGTGGAGTGGCTGGGGGATGGGAGTGGGGAGAAGTACACTGGACTATGGTGATGGCACACGGGTGATGTGGTGATGGGAAGCCCACAGGGATGACAACTGAGATGGAAAAGGGCACAAAAATGATGTAAAAATAAACTATTCTATTTAAAAAAATAATTTTTTTAAGTAGACATTTTTAGATAAAAGCTGAATTTTCCCTTGGACACTTTCACTATAAGATGTTAAATTCTTCAAACTGAAGGAAAATGATACCAGATGGAGATTTACATCTGCACGAAGGCATGGGTGGCTGGGGATGGACTTGGCTTCACCAGCTCGTCACAATCTCCAGGAAACGAAGGAGAGGTCTGGAAAGCTCTAGACTCACACTGTGCCCCTGATGGCCACTGGGACCTCCTGCTGCATCCAGTGCACCGGACAGACAGCTCAGAAACATCTTCCAGGGAAAGAATAAACACGGACTAACACAGGCTTGGCAAACCACAGCCTGTGGGCAAGCCACCTGTTTCTCTGTGTAGAAGGTCCAAAATACTCAACATAAGAATGTTTAAATTACATAAACATTTTAGAATTAATAAGTAGACTACCAAGCTCCCTGAAGACAAAATACAATGTAGGGACGATTTCTTATAACTAAGGATTTCTTATAGTCTTAACCATGAAGGAAAGAAATGATAAAAGGATAACATAAAAAGAAAAATTCTGTTCATCAAAAACACCACTAAGACAAAAAGTGAATTGTAGAGTGGGGAAAATGTGCAGCACTTAAAGTGAATATATAAAAGACTACTACAATTTCTTTTTAAATCCATTTTAAAAAATGAGAAAGACTAGAGCACGTATTTCACAAGATGGCCAATTTCTAACCCACATGAAGATGTTGAACTTTATTAACTCAAGAAATGCAAAGAAAACAAGGATACACCATTAAATGCTCATAAAATGAATAAACTTCAAGAGATTAACTAGCAGATAATGATGAAGATGGAGCACATGCTCTCATACACTACTCACAGGGTGTGAACTGATAAAACTACTTTGAAAAGTCGGCAGCTCTTCTCAAACCTCCGATGACTTGCGCAGAGCCTGCTAGCCAGTAACCCGCCGCTAGGCTGACTTGGCAGAAAGGTGTACCCAAAGTAACTAAAAGTTCAAAGCGATATTAAAACTCGAAATCATCAAAGTGGCTATGAAAAACGGGTTGTATATTCAGAAGTTAAAATCCAACCAGCAGTGAAAATGAATGCACTCCAGATCACACCACAGTGTGGGTGAGCTTGCAAATGAAATAGGGAGGGAAACCACCCAGCAGGAGAGGGCCTAGGAGCACCTCAGCTACAAAACAGCTGACTTGTGGAGGAAAGCAAAGGACTAGCAACGAGCGGCTTCTGCAGGATCTCACTGTTTCCCTGGTTGGCCCCTTCCTAGGTGTGTTCATTTTCTGAGAACATATGAGTTTATCCTTATTGTTACTTTTTTTTTCCAATTTTTACTTTTCCATTTTTTGTACTTCAAAAGATTTCAAAAATTTAATTATTATTGGCACTTCTTTTGAAATCAGCCTAGCCTAGCAAGTGACCCAATAATGATTAACAGGTCTCAATCATCAGCTGCAGAAAACTGGAAATGATGACAATGAATTTAGTTACATATAACTAACCTGAGTATTTTCAAATTACAATTCAGTTAAAATGCAGCTCCTCGGGTACACTAGCCACATTTTAAGTGACCAGTGGCCCAAGGTGGCTCCTGGCTACCAAAACGGACAGAACCACACCAAATAACAGTGATGACTTACATTTTCTCATTTTATGCCTTTTCTCAACCTATCCGTTATCTGGGTAAATTGTAAAAAATTAAAGATAAAACCTCTTCTCTAAAATGAAAATGTATATGGAAAAACTCTTATCTCCCACCTTCCTGGAAATTTCAGGCTCAATTCTATTTAGAAAATGGGCCACATGTGATTCCTGAAAGATGAACTTGTAACAATATTGTTGAATTTCCCATTCTTTTTTTAAAGATTTATTTATTTATGCATATTTATGCATACAGACCTGGGATCCAGGCCAGAGGTGCAGGGGTAGTGAGAGGCTTCACCAGAGACAGAGTGGGGAGCAGAACAGGCAGATCGATGCATTACACTGCTGAGGGGAGCAGCAGGTGGGTCTGGAGAGGTCTGCCTCGCCCTGTGGGTCACCTCCAGGAGGAGATCAAACTCATGTGGAAGTGGCTTTAGCTTCTTAGTGCTGCGCTTTAACCTGCTGTGCCACCAGGGAGGGCCAAATTTCCCATTATTAAGGCAATAAGCAATGTTTCTTTTAATACTGCTCTTGTTACCACGGATTCACCAGACTGTCCACAGTTACAAGAAAAGAACTGGTTCATCATGTTTACTTGCCCTGGTAGAACATCTTGTCTTCCTCATAAGCTTATTTTTATTTCTTGACTTTGGGATGCTCCTCTGTCTTCCACTCCCTAGCACTGACCCTATTTCTTTAAACAGACAATAAGTGAAGAGCTGATTTTTTTTTTCAGGATGTCTGCCTTTTGGTATGAGAACTTGGTATCATAATCACAGCATTCCAGTAGAGAGCACTCCTACCATTCAATTCTGCCAGGATGATGCCTACTTAGCTTAGGCCCAGCCACGTGTGTATAAGTAGTATTAGTCCTGCTCTATTTCTGACAGCTTGTATTTCCAGAGAACTTCATCATCTTTAGGTATGAAAGACAGACTTGACCTTAAGCTGGTGCTGTTTGGGGCAGTTTGTTCTGAAACCCAGACCAGAGCTAAAGAGGAAAAATACTGGAATCAAGTTTCAAACCATGGGAAGTAATTGCTGTTGTAATTGATGGTACACCTCTGTAGTCTCTGCTGAATAATTTCTTGCCTTGGATCATTTCCACCCTCTTGGCTTTCAGTAACAGCAGCTATTGCATAATCAAATTAGCCAATAGTCAGAGATCAGTTTATTACTTTCCTCACCATGACTAAGATTAACACAAAACTGGTAGTAAAATGACTATAATGACAATAATACAAAACTCGCCTCTCCATCTCCACCTACTGCCCTCCCTGGAATACTGGCAAAATAGTGGTAAAACAATCCAAGTTAAATGAAGAATACTGCTTTGGCAGAGATTGTCCAGAATATGGTGTTTTATCTTCAGCAAGGGCACATGCTACCAATAATTCAAGGTGACCAGTAATTCAACAGTAAGGAATATTCCATGAAACACCACACTTAGACACTAATCAGTATATAAAGGGCCTAAGACTGTGTTAATAGCAGTTTGTCTGGAACAGTTACTGAAAATTCCACAATCCCTTTCCTAAACATTATACTTAGACATTCATCGATATATAAAGGACTAACTTTGTGTTAAATAGTAGAGACAAAATAATAGATTGACTGCCATATGGCCAATAAGCCATCTCTCCAGACCTACTATTGACTCAAAATAAGTGTCTTAAACATCCATAAATGCTATCAGTGAATCACACCCAGTCCATCAGAGGTTTGGCTTTAAGCCTTTGGTTTAAGAACAGTGAGACAGTAATGATGTTTTTTATTTAGAGGATCTTCATTTAAAAATAATGTATTCACACAATGTCAGTGGTGACCTCCAGGGCACTGGACAAGACTGCGGA